ATCCACTTATAAAATAATCACTCAGACGCTATATCACTTATAAACTGTATGGCCGTGGCAGGCTTCCCGCCAACTGCTCTTTCATCTCAAACTAACCCATTTCTATAAATCCATACCCTGCCACGTGGCTGGTGGCTTACCGGCATCCTCACCGGCTGCCTCTCCTCGCGGTGGCTGTAGTGTCTCTCTCCTCAGCCTTCCGCTTCCCAGAATTCTCCTCTCTCCTTGTCCCACCTACTTCCTGCCTGGCAACTGGCCATCAGTGTTTTATTTATATAGAGTGATATCCACAGCACCTCCCCCTTTCCACTTAGTGACTGGTTCAATAAACAGCAACTGGAAACTGACTGGCTCTGTCATCAGCAAGCTGTTAGTATTCTTAAGGGGAATCCACCAGAGATGACCACTCAGACACAGCTCATAGACAACTGAAAGTCTTTATTCTAGTTGTTGGGACTACAACTCAGGTATTCGGGGACCCCACCGTCAGCCTGAGTCCAGCGCATGGGGGTTTTGAAGGCAAAAACCATGTCCTGGTATCTCCTTCAGTAGCTGCAAGGGGTGCTTTGCAGAAGCAAGCAGTTTAGCAGAAGCTATAACAAGCAGTTAGCTGGAGGGGGTTCTGTACAAGCAGGCAGCTTTACAGAAGCAAAGGTAAGTTAGTTAGGGCATCTTAACCTTGGGTCCCTGGAATAGACTTGGGCAATATTCTGTGGGATTTTCCATCAAAGCGATCAAATTCTAGTTAAATTTGAAGTGGGCTCAGCAAGAATAAAGCTGGAGGAAACTCTTCACTGTCTTGCCCTGTCACAGTATCAAAGATGAATATGATAACTTCTTGATCTTTATACGCTCAGAGTCCAGGGAGCAAGGCAGTCATAAATAGAGTCACCCTCAGAATTCATGGCTCTATTAGCTACTTTCATATTACTAAGGTCAAAATATCCCCCCAAAGAATCATTTGAATGAGGAGGAACATGGTTCTTGGTATGAGAGGAATCAGAGACATCAGTCCATTATGGCTGAAGGGTGTGGCTGAACAGAGTGGTTCACATGGTGATGGAGAGAGAGAAAGAGAAGGGGGGGTGAGCACAGAGGCTGTTGCTCGGCTAAATCTGTCCCTTTCCCCCCTCTTACTCCATCCAGATCCCCTTGTCATGGTGCCATCAACACTCATAGGGAGTCCTTCCCCTCAGCTAATCCTCCTGAAGGTGCTTCTCCATTTGCTAGGCGACTCTAAATCTGGTCAACTTGACCATGAAGATTAGCCATCACCACAAAGGACTGGTTACAGGACCATTTGTGAATACTCAGTCCAGTCGACTTGACTCTGAAGATTCACCATTATCATGGAGGAGGTTGCAGGACCATTCCCAAATGGAAATCAACTCCCTTGAATTAGACCTTCCTGTCACCATGGCACAATATGTGATAGAAACCACTCAAGGAAGGAAACATTTATGTTACTCTTGGTGTCAGAGCTTTCAATGCATCGTGGCAGGAAGGATGCAGCAGACAGGAAGTAGAAAGGAGTAGTAACAGGAAGGAGCTGTGACCCACTTCCTCCAACTAGGTAGGCCCCACCTTCAGCCATTTTATCACTTTCCAAAAGAGAGCTACCCTTTGGGGACTAAGATTCAACATGAGCCTGTAGAGGGCATTTCATATTCAAGCCATCCTTTTTCTAAAACGGTACAGCAGGCATATATAACCGACATATATCCTCTTGAATGGTTTGATCTCTAAATTATGTATGGTACCTAATATAATTAAATAGTATGTAGATGGCTGGTGTGCTGTATTATTTAGGGACTCATGCAAGAAAAAAAAGTCTGTGCTGTTCAACGCAGATGCACTTTTTCAGATATTTCTCATCTGCAGCTGGTTGAAATGTGAATGGAAATCCACAGATACAAGGGCTGACTGCCCCCCCCCCAAGCACGTGAAGTGCTATGAAGCATTATATAACATAAATGCAATGAAAATGTATTGAATACTATCTCATTACATATTTAATATCAGCAGTGCATGCAATTAGGGCATCTTTGGCAAGCTAGCTTCAAGTTCCTATCATTCTCTACAGCCCTCCTTGTCCCCATGGTGAGTCACAGCTGCCCACTACACAACTCAGTTTAGTGCTGGCCTTTCATTGCCTTCCCCATACCACATGGATCGTGGATCTGACATAAGACATGAAGGGATGGGAATTCCTGCTAGCTTGAAAATCGGCCCCAGTGTAACCAAACACGTGTGTTGATCTCCCAGGCTCCTGTTCTCTGCTTGTCTCTCTCTCAGGTGGGACTGTGCCTTTCTTTGGTGACTGGTAGGCTATGGAGTGACAGGGTTGTTAGCCTTGGCTCCTCACTGCAAGAAACTTTCCACAACCTGTGAGGAACATGTTCTGAGTGTCTCTGCAGTTCAGCCCACAAGGGGTTAAACGCCTGAGGAAAAGGTTCCTGCCTAGTCCATCTCTTCACTGCACAATGGCAAAGCGCTTTCTCTGCAGTGACCTTTGATCTAATTGCACATTTGCCATCATTCATTTGGGCCCACCATTCTGTGCCCAGTAGGGAAATGACAGGAGACTGAAGGGCCTTGAAAATTCAGTCCTTAGCTTTGTGGCTTTTTGCCTCAAATGCCACCCAGGCCCCTGCAGGAGGAGCACGCTGTGGTGGCTCCAACATCCAAATACTCTAATACCAAGAGTGCCAGGGGGTCAGAGCTGTGGCAAGGAGGGGGTGGGGACAGAAGACAGCGGGGGACCCCTGAGGACCGGGTTCCATTGTCCAGCTGCCATAGAGGTGGCATTGAGAAGGACATTAGCATCCAAACTGTGACTGGGTGGAAGCAGATACTGGGCAGCCTTCTCCAAAGGCCTCCCGCAGGGTCCCAGAGGGAAGCTGGGGCAGGCCCAAGAAGAGGAAGTAGTGTGGGACGAAGGACAGAAGAAGGTGCTGGTTGCCAAGCTCCAGTCTGAAGGGACCAGGGCATGCGCAAGGAAGGTCTCCACATGGTCCACACAGGCTGAGCTCAGAGACAGAACTGAGGACATACAATCACCAGTGCTTGCCTTCACCTGGGGCTCCAAGGTGGCCCTTGGACCCCTGCTGAGGCCACTGGGTTACCTTGAAGTGTGGCCTTCCCACCTCTGCTCAACTCTCAGCCCTCCCTGCTGTCATAGATCTTTCCAGAAATGTAAGTGGAGCCCCCAGCCCTCTCTCCAGTCCTTCAACACCCTTCAAAGCCATGCTGAATAGTCTCAGACCCTTTGTTGTAGCTTGTCAGCCTTTCAGGGGCCTCTACCTGTCTGTCACTCAGTCTCCTTTCTTGTGACGTCACTCCAAGAACCTTGGCCTGCTGCTATCACACTGACTCCTCCATTTACTGAACATAGCAGACCCTGTCCAGCTTCTGTGCATGTGACCTTCTCTGCATCTGGTCATCTTTTTTGCTCTTGGGCATTTTATCTGCATAATGCCTCTCAGGAGCCATCCTGATCTCACTGAACATTTCTGGATCTTTGTACTTCTTGACTTAAAGTCTCACGGTAGACATACTGCACAAGACCTGAGTCCAGATTCTAGCTCTGCTGATGTGGTATTGAATCGCCTTGGATAATTGGCTTGACCAGTCTGAGATTTCCATTCTGACCATCCCAATGCAGAGCAGCCCACAAAGATTAAATGGGAGATGTCTCCCATGTGTGACAGTAGTCCTGCAGGCTTGCAAGCTGCTCAAGGTTAGCGATGACACAAAGGGGTGGATAAGACGATTCAGCTCGCAGAATGCTTGCCATGCAAGCTTGAGGATCTGAGTTCCATTCCCAGCACACATGTCATATTAAAAAACACAAACAAACTGGGTGTGGTGGTAGTGTGTGCTGGGTAGGATGAGGCAGGAGGATTCCTGAGGTACACTGGCCAGCCAGTCTAGCCTAATCGATCAGCCCCAGGTTCCGGTGGGACTCTATCTTAAAGAAGCAAAGTAGAAGGCTCCTGAGGTCAACACCTGAAGTTGACCTCTGGCTTCCACACACTCAAGAATACACACAAGTGGCACCCGCCCCTGACACACACACATACACATACAATTATATGAAAATCCTTATGTCCTCTCTGGGCCCAGCTCTCAGCTAGACTTAAAGCAAGCGCCTGATGCAGGAGCAGAGGCCCTTGCCGGAGGTAAGTGGCAATGAACCCCCATGGCATTGTTCACCAGGGAAGGATAGGGAAGGGTAGAGAAAGGTAGGGAAGGGTTGGGAAGGGTAGGGAGAGGTAGGGAAAAGTAGGAAAGGACAGGCAGTAGAGAAGCAGGCAGCATCTGGAGGCCCCTTGCCCACCGTCACTCATTTGCCTAGCTGAGCTCAGCAGCCCTGCCACAGAGGATATAGGGCTCCAGGCCTGGAGGCTTGTTCCAAACTGGCCCAGCTATTCTTGGGAGCTTTTTATGTCATAAAGAGAGTCCCCTAACTGGCCCGTTGACCTTTCCCCAGGCTTCCCGAAGGCTGAGTTCTCATCTGGTGCACAGTATAAGAGCCACCTCCCTAGAGAAAGCAGAAAGAGCAGACAAGAGGGACCGGTGATAACAGCCCCCGCTTGGTGAGATTGATAGCTGGGTGTTCTGCTGAGCATTTTGGATACATTTCCGAATTTAATCTTTGTGCCTTCAGCACAGCTGTGGGTTAGGATGGTAAGAATGGCAGTTCAGAACCATCAAGGCACTTACTTAAAACCACACAGCTAGGAACCAGCAGAACCAGGGTATGGACCCAAGCTTTGTCTGACCCCGGAAGTCCTTACTCACAGTATTTCCCATTCTTGAGGTGGGGTAGGTCAACTGCAGGGTTGTTGCTTCTCAGAGACAAGGACATATTCCCCCAGAAGTTGGTTCCTGGGCTCTGGGTGGGCAGCTGGTTTGCGAGGACTCCTCTTGGGGTGGGGTCAGGGAGAGGGCAGTGATTTATTCTGCTGATTACGCCATATGTTCCCTTTGTGGCCAAGCTGGTGACAGAAACATGAACGCCATTAGAGAGTATCGTTACGGGAGGACGGACTGCATCATCTCCAGCTGGAGCTAAAGTCGGGAGAGATACATCAGGGCCTGTTGGGATCGCTCCCTGGAGGCAGGCAGCAAAGACTCAACCCAGCTCTTCCTCTTCATGCACTCAGGTGGAGCCACAGGTGGAGCCAGCAAGTTGGAAGCTTGGCTACCAGGGCAAGACTGATCTCCCTATGGGGGAGTCCCATGTGCAAAGTGTCTGCCTGTATGAGTTTCTGTCCTGCCTCTTTCTAAGAAAATATGGATATGGCAGGATTGCGTTGTAATCACCACATCTAATTACAAAAAGGGAGTAAATCACCGAACAAAATTAGTTTTCAGAGTCTTAATTATCATCAGAAAGAGTAATTAATAAGCAAAACAGGAAATGACCAAGCCAAGTTCCCTAGTCTGCAAAGATGTGTTTTCCTTTCAGCACTCGGGAGGATGGGGAATGGGAGGGATGGGACAGATGGGGTGGGGGCACAGTACCAAAGCTTCCAGAGCCTCAGTGGGCATTAAAAATGAATATCCCAGGGCTCCATGGATCTCAGATGTTCACATTCCTTTCAAACTTGGTTTGCAAAGTTTCTAGGTCATTCCTTGCAGGCCCTTCCTTTCCCAGGCCTGGTGGCCAGAGGAAGGCAGATGAATTAGAATAAACATACAGGCCAGTTCCCTTCTCTATCCTTCCGAGTAACAGGCTCTGGGCCAGAAACTCTCAAACCAATTGATGATAACAAGCTGAAGTTCAATGCCATTGGCTGTCTGCTGAGACCGCCCTGGCTTTTCTTATGTCTGTTCATCAGCTTGTTTTTTTTCTTTCTTTCTTTCTCTCTTTTTTTTATTTATTCATTTTAGTAGTAGCATCATATAAATAAAACACCATTACAAAAATGTCGCAGAAAGTTCAAAACTATTCATTATCCATTTCGTACAGATTAAAATTGCCATCAAGGCTGTTTGGATTTGTCTCGCGTTCCTTTCCTTCTAATGAGCCGGATAGAGAAGGCAAAGGATGCTAATGCGTCCTTACATCTCTATCATATCTCGGCTTTTACTATATAAAGCATCAAGGTCGCATTCTGGGGAAATGTCTTTTTACCAAAGGTGCTATAATAATAATGAAGAAGCAATTTGTTTCAGCAAACTGCCTGCAGTAATGAGGCTTAATTATAACCATGTTATTAATACCGCTGCTTAAGGTAATTCACTTCTGAGCGGGGTGTAGAACAGTAAACTATAATTTAAACAAGAATCGAGACCTAATTTAAATCATCGGATCTACTGCGGAAAAAGGCAAACAGAATGACTATAATCCACACGTTGATTTAAATCTGGCCCCACCCCCCATGCCATTTCCAGGAGACCTGGGTGACTCTCAGAGGGGTAAGAAGCCCCAGCATGGGTCTCGGTTCTCCCACTCTTCCAGGAGGCTTTGTGGGTGACACAGCTCTGCTGACCTGTAGCCAGACACCTGTTGGCTCTTACCTCCTCCTCTCCATAGGCAGGTGAGGTTGACAGGGTAGAAGGAAGGATGTAGTGGGTAGCCATTCCAGCTTTGATCTGGAAGTTCCAACCCCCACTGAGGCTTCGGTAACTGTCACACCTACAAGGCGGGGCCGAGAGAGGACCCTGAAGACCTGAGATCCGGATGCGCCAGCTCTCTTGGTTCCCGGACCGTGGATGCTGGAGGTAGACCCAGCAGAGTTCTCCAGAGAACACCATAGGACTGTGCTACACCTTTCCCAGACCTTGTTACCTATCCCTTCATTTGTAAGTTACCCCACAAAATAAACCTCCCTTTTAACTATGTGGAGTGGCCTTAATAATTTCACCAATAGGAGGTCCTCATCATCTCAAGGACATCTTCAAGACGATGTTGAACTCACTGTGTTTCTCTCCCCAATATCTTAGGATGAAAACATGGGGTTTGTGATGGCAGACAAATCACTGGACTCTGACTTTTTAAAACGTAGTTTTAATTTATTCTCTGAGAATTTTGTACATATATACAATGCATTCTGATCATATCTACCTCCCATTCCCCCCACTCCTTGCCTTCCAACTTCTGATCACCCCTGTGTTCTTCCACGTTCGTAACTTCTTTTTTAAAAATAACCCACAGAGTCCAGTTAGTGCCTCCTGGTATGGGCACAGGTGGAAGGGCATATGCTGAACATGATCAGCTTACCAGGGACCACACCCTTGAGGAAAGCTGACTCTTCTTAACCCCTAGCTGTCATCAATTGCCAATTATTCCTCAGTTAGACTAGCCATGAGGCCTTGTGACTCCCCCCAACCCCCCAGCCTGTGCTGGAATGTTGAGTGGCTTGATCTTGGGCAGGTCTTGCTTGGCTTTCAATTTCTACAAAAGCCCACACTCAAGACATAAAGGGAGGTGATTTGTTGCCCAAGAACACACAGTGGACTACAGAATAGAAACCAGCACCCTTGGTCTATTGGTCTGGTGTCCTGGCAGTGATATTAGCTTAACTGGTAGGTCTAAGCCTACCTCTGCCATTCTAACAGGACACCTCAGACACTAACCCAAAGATCGCAAAATGTAGCTGTTCCCTAAGATATCTTGAGATGTTTGTTTGACAATGTTAAGTTCATGAGTCCTGTACCCCACACCTAGATTCTTATATCAGTGTGGCTTTGGGTTGGGGGGACTTGTGTATTTATCAAAAACTTTGAATACCAAGCATGATGTTTATTTCACTTCTTGTGGTATCAGTATGCAATATACAAGGAATGCATGCACGTGTGTGCGCATGTGCACATGTGTTTCCTTGACTACCTTTTGAGTTATATTTGTTCATTCATCTGCTTAACATTTATGTGCATCAATTATGTGCATAACACTTTATATTGCTGCTCTATTTTCAATGACTTTCCCCCTTCTTGATTCAGGACTGTAGTTCATGTTAGCCTAAATGAAAAAAAAGTAGGAAATTGAGAAAAGAGGTGTGTGATTTCTATTGAAAGACCATGTGGACTACCACGTTTTATAACTGTGCTCCAGAGGGTTAGATACTACAAGGAAAGAAAGTGTCTTTTCTAAGAGTCAATGTTAGCTAGGATTTAGGAATCTTAGGCTGAGTTAATGAGGTGATTATGAATCTCTGCTACTGACAATTTACAAAATATGAGAGACTTATAGATCAGAGCAATGAAGGTGCTATTTACGGCCTTGATTCCAGAACCATAGGACACCTGCACCTGTGGAGGGTCTTTGACCAGCACCTAATCCTGCCTGTGATTCTTCACCTAACCACCTAATCAGTCCCTGAACTAAGCCACTGCCCTTGGAGCTAGAAGAACACAGGAGGTGCTGGGCTAGGTGTCCCACCCGACCTCTCCCAAGCCCCATGCACGCAGGGAGGTTCTGCAGCCAAGCTGAGGGTAGAACTCCCTAGATCCAAATCTGGGTATCCTAGAGGGAAAGTCCTCTATCATCGGGACCTCTAAGTTCCAGAGGACTTTTTCAAAAAGCATGTGAAATGGGAAGGGGGAAGTGGCTTTTCCAAATGGTTCAAAATACCACAAAAATCTTCAAGATTTTCATCTTTATTACTTTTATTTTTAATTTGACAAACATGCAATAATTAGAAGCCTTAGTTTATCCAAACAAATGTCAACGTCTTTCTCAACACTCCCAGGCCTGCCTCAGTTTCTCTCCCACATCATCCCCACATACTCTTCTGGCTCGGCTCCACCCAAGAAGCCTGTGCGTCCCTCTCTCCTTCTCCTACCGCTGCGGTTTCTTTTTCTCTCACTTGTTCCTTTCCAAGACAACTCCCTCCTGGGTTTCCCTACTGGTAAGAGTTCTGCAGAGCCAAATGACACCAAATGATGTCTCCAGATGGTGGTAATGATTGGGTTCTGGCTGAACTGAGGTAAGAAGGCACAGAGCTATGAGACAGCCTAGCCTTAGCTGTTCTGGGAGCAACCCTTCTCCCTCACACATTGCATCTTCTATGCAATTGCACACATACATACATACATGCATGCATGCATGCACATGTAATGTAACTCGAGTTCACACCCACAATGAAAACACAGACACGAATGCTGGTCCACAGAAGCAAAGACATACCCACAGAGCTCCATTCAGCCATAACTCTCATATCCTTCCCTGTAGTTGGAAGATTTCCTGTGCCCCCAGCGGTCAGGACAAATCTCTCCCATCCACATCCCCCAAGTAAACACACAGAGGTTTGTATCAATTATAACTGCATGGCCATGGCTCAAGCCTTTTTTCTAGCTAGCTCTTATATCTTAAATTAGCCCATAACTATTAATCTATGTATCACCACATGTTCTGTGGCTTTACCTGCATCCCACTACATGTGGGATGGCTCACTGCTCCCCCCCCCCCCCGCCACTTCTTCCTGTCTCTCTCTTTGAATTTCCTGCCTGCCTCTAAGTTGCCTTGCCATAGGCCAAATGGCTTTATTTATCAACCAATTAGAGCAACACATATTCACAGCATACAGAAAGACATTCCCCCATCACTCCCCCAATTAACCCTTCGTAATTTTCCAAAGTGCTGGATTCAATCCCATCAGTGTTGGTGGCAGGTATCTGGGGATGCTGTCCGTTTCAATCTTGAAGACACTGTGAACCTGTCCAGATAAAATGTCTGGAGGAGAGTCAGCAGCAGTGGAGTTGGGGAGGAGAAGGAGGATGTGGCATGTGGAGCGGTTCTCTTATGAGAGATAGAACATCTTGCCTCATTCCATCTCCTTGCAACCTCCTGCAGGCTGCTTCATCTCGAGCTGTATGAGCTCAGAGGAGGTGTCCAATTTGATGAACAATATCTATAAATCCATTCACAGTAGGACCCGCTGTGACACAGTGTCCTACTGACCTGACCAAACAGTGTACTGGTTCTGTCCCCCTGCAAATCTTCCATGAAGACACTCCCAATGTAGTCTTCCCTCACCATCCATCTCCAAGCAATGTCCTTGGAGCCCAGACTCATGCCTCTTAGAGCAGAGTCTATGGTTGTGACTTTAGGATTTTGGAGGAACTGAGCCACCTCATGCAAGGGTTTGAGAGGAGAAGGTGGTGGGCAGTGTCCCCAGAGAAAGTTAGGATGTGAGAAGACAGTTACACCAAAGCTCCTTTTAGAGCTGGTGTCTGGAGGCTGGACCTCCTGTAGATACCCATGACTTATCAGGGCTCATTTAAAAGCCTTGGAAATTGGGAATCCCTTTAAGCCACCCTGCTGAGTAGTGTCACCTCTATAGGTCAGTGGGGCAATCACCCAGTATCTA